ATGCCAGACTCTGAATGCTGGGGAAAGGAGGGGGAAAGACAGAGGGGAGAGAAGGGAAGGAAGTAGGAGGGACTGCACCATCACCTTGTGGTGGTGACAGCACCCACCATCATGGAGAGAAAAACAGCTTGCTAAGGTATCAGAAAAGTCACAGGTTTCTCACTTGCCTTCTTTATGCTCATTCAAGAATTAAGGGAGACGCTACAGAAATCCATAGACAAATGCATTTTTACAGTCAAAACTTACTGTGATTCTTGTGGAAATGATCTGCTTTTAGGGTATTAAATATTTACTTAATAAGTAAATGAAAAAAACCTTCATTTTCACAGACTGCTGGATGACCAACTACATTGTACCGTCTAGTTTGGGCTTTTTTTTTCATTTGGAGCAGTTAAATTCATCATCCATTAATGGAGATATTTTTGACAAATTTCTATTCAAATCATAGACATTCTTTGCCATAAACAGCCAGTTTTATTGCTACATGTTTTTAGAATAAGGTAGAGAATTTAATTCCTTACAGAGCTTGTTTAAAGGCTTAAGTGCCTGCCTGATCCCAGATCCATCTTACGGGAACCTGTTTTTCTGCTTGTCAGCCCTTCGTGAGCTCCTTTACTTCCTCCTTTTCTGACTCTCACATTCTCTCTCCTTCTTTTTAAAATTTTATCATTCCATAGCCAGCATACTCAAGGCTGTTTACAGCACTGATACCTTGCTGCATTAGTGCTGCATTGATTAGGGTTGAAAATAATCTCAGGAAGTCATGCATAACTCCCACTCCTTGTCCTTTCTGCCATGTAAGCACATTCTCTTTGCCTGAATGAAAGGAGAATGTTCTGTGTACAAGCTCTTTCCAAGCATTGGAAATGTTCTGCATAGGTGCCTTTGAGGACTTTCTTCAGCCTGTTTTTGTGTCAGTCTCCTGAAACTATCATACATCAAAACTGTGTTATTCCTTCATTCAGCTCCATTGTACTACCAAAAATACTGCTTAATCCATTTCCTCTGATGGGAGGAAGTGGGCTGTTTATTTTTGAAATGGGCATGCTATTTGCACGCACTAGGTTATTCAGTAAAAATCCCTATTAAAAGAGCATTAATATACATGCTCTGGGAACACCTTTGCAGAAGGCGTTAGGCTTTTAAAGAGAGCATGGAGAGCCTAATTCCTTGGAGTATTTTGTAATTTGTTTCCATCAAAGCACAACTCAGTGCCAGATTATATTTTACCACAGAGTTTATTTCTATGGTAAGAAGATATGCCTAATAAGACATTGGCCAGATTTATACTTTAAATCACAGCCCATTCCAAACGCTAGGCTGCCTATTTAGGATCTTCACCCGTTTCTGTACAATCCCATCTTTAGTGGAGCAGCACCTAATCCTCTCCTTTCTCAGCAGAACATTCTTTTTGTCGGGAGGGTGTGAGGGGTAATTAAGAGGCCCAGCCCCCAGCTGTACTGTTGATAGTCCTTTATTTGCAGGCTGCTGCTGCTGCTGTGCTCAGCAGAAGGAGGGATGCTCTGCCTGAGGGATGCTCTACCCCAGGGATGCTCTGGGACTGGGGCTCAACCCCCCATCCACCTGCCACAGAAAGGCAAGAGCTCCCCCTGCGCTCTGAGTGCAGACTGTGTCCCCGGGAGAGGATCTCTCCTGCTTCCCCTGAAACCCACGCTGTCATTTTAATCAGGTAGTTCTGTCTGTGTGAAGGTGACAAGTCATAGCTGGCATAAATAAGACCTTAAACTATGTATCTACCATTGGCAAACAGGAAAAAAGGAAAGCAGAATTTCTCTTTTGCTAGAGCCATTTGAAATTAGTGGGGTCTTTAAAAGCTTTTATTCAAATAAATAAATTCATAAAATTGCCTGGAACTCAATAGTGCAGGATGTCTAATCAATAGTAATTCATTTTCAGAATTGCCGTCTGTTCCACAAGCCAGGAATTGCAAGAGGTAAATCACGACAAACACTGCACGCACAGACAGGATCCATTATATCACAGCAGGGGTCACACTGGAATCACTTCATCTGTTTTTAAGGTTTGAAAGCCCAGGATGCAGAGGATTTTCAAACAGGCCCATCTGTGTGATATTTCTGGCCACAGATCTCTGGTTTTCCTACCAGAGAATGGTGGTAACTAAATCTCTGTGATGTACTCCATGCCACGGGCTGGATTATTTGCATTAGGAGTAATCTTATGGTGACTCTGCAGGTGTCTATACTTGCCAGAATGACTTAAAAGTGCTGTGCCTAAGCAACGTTCCTCTGAACATAATTTTGGCTTGAAAATTATTAGAATGGGTAGTTGAACTTCTGGAGGTGTAGTGTCTGCCCTGTGCTATAATTAAGATCTAACTTATGCAAAAGGAACAAAGATGGAGTGGGGCCACTGTTTCTCCATTCTTTTTCTGCTGTGCTTTCTGAATAACAGCAACAACAACAGCAGCAACAACAAAGCTAAATGCCCCTAACTGGAATTTTCTGACAGCAAAATCCAGTTCATTTAAAGTCCTGGTTTTAATTCTGTCCATGGATGATTGTGAGAAATCCACTTTTATAGTTTGGAGGCATTCCACCTGGAAAAAACTAGCTCTGGAAAATGAAATTTCCATCTGTTAAAAAATGGGAGGGAGTGGAGGGGGCAGGGCAGGGAATAAATGATGGTCTATGTAGATTAGGGCCAACATTTTCAAAAACAGGAACTAAAGTTAGCCTTGTGTATTCATACTCAGACACAAATAAATATATAGTGCTTTGGGAAATTGTGCTAAGCCTCTGCTAGCTCTGCTGGTTTAACCTGACCTCATCATTTCAGGCCATAGTCAGCTGCCCAAATGTGGATGAGAGAGAAACTCGTGCTCATCCTTTTTTGTGACAGCACTGACCCATGTCCCAGGGAACAGAGTTCGTGTTTCTCTCTTCCTGCAGAGGAATGAAGTGCCAGTCCAGGCTAGAGCCTATGGATCTCTTCACAGATAAAGGTTTAAAACTCCATTCTGCTTTGATGTCCAGAGGGTAGACTTTGGTCTGTTTAGGTGACTGGTTGAGAGAGTCCCTTGTGAGGCAGTCTGGCAGGGCAAAGGAGTCCAGGAAGTCTGGACATTCTTCAAGAAGGAAATCCTAAAGGCACAGGAGCAGGCTATCCCCATAGGCCAAAAGTTGACCCAGAGTGGGAAGAGACCAGCCCGGCTGAACAGAGAGCTTTGTCTGGAACTCAGGAGAAAAAAGATTATGACTTTTGGTAGAGGGGGCAGGACACTCAAGAGGACTACAAGATTTTTGTGAGGTTATGAAGGGAGAAAATTAAAAGGGCCAAAGCCCAGCTAGAACTTAATCTCACTACTGTCATAAAAGTTTATAAAATAATATAAACAACAAAAAGAGGGCAAAGGAGAATCTTCATCCTTTAGGGGATGCAGAGAAAAACACAGAGATAAGAAAAAGGCCAAGGCACTCAATGCCTTCTTTGCCTCAGACTCTAATATAGAGACTAGTTGTTCTCTGGGTAACCAGTCCCCTGAGCTGGAAGACAGGAAGAGGGAGCAGAAAGAAGCCCACAAATCCAATGGCAAATGCTCAGTGATCTACTACATCACTTAGACGTATTCAAGTTTATGCAGCCAGATGGGATTTACCCCAGGGTACTGAGGGAGCTGGCAGAAGTGCTCACTGAGCCACTTTCCATCATTTATCAGCAGACCTGCTATCTAGAGGAAGGGCCCTAAGGAGGATCCAGAGAGCTATAGCCCTGTCAACCTGACCTTGATGCCAGGGAGGTCACAGAGCAGATTATCTTGAGTACCACCTCACAGCAGTTAGACAACAATCAAGGGATCAGGCCCAGCCAGCATGGGTTTATGAGAGTCAGGTTCTGCTTGGCCAGATGTGCTGGTTTTGGCTAGGGTAAGGTTAATTTTCTTCACTGTGGCTGGCATGGGGTTGTGGTTTGGATTTGTGCTGAACAAATTTGTTGATAAGATTGTTGATAATGTAGATATTAAAGAGCAAAAGCCTTTTCTGCTTTCCATACTGCCATGCTGGCAAGGAACATAGGGATGCTTGGGAGGCTGGGAGGAGACAGAGCTAGGAGAGGTGACCCCAACCAACCAAACCGGTGTTCCAGACCATGTGACATCATGCTCGGTATATAAAGTGGGAGGAAGAAGGAGGAAAGGGAGGATGCTTGGAGTGATGGCATTTGTCAACCCAAGTAACCATTACATGTGATAGGGCCCTGCTCTCCTGAATGGCTGAATACCTGCCTGCCCATGGGAAGGAGTGAATGAATTATTCAATTTTCTTTTCTGAGATGCAAAGATTTTGCTTTTTCTATTAAACTGTCTTTTTCTCAACCCACTAGTTTCCTTTACCCTTCCATTTCCCTACCTGATGCCTCTGGTGGGAGTGAGTGAGCAGCTGCATGGGGCGTGGATGATGGCTGGGGTTAAACTGCAACACTCACCTAATCTTCTTCTGTGACTCAGAGGGTGAGAAAAAGACTATGGATATTGTCTACCTAGAATTCAGTACAACTTTTGACATTGTCTCCCACGTTGTTGTCCTGAAGAAACTGGCTTCCTTTGGTGTGGGTGGATGGACTCTTTACTGTGTGGTAAAAATGGCTGGATGGCCAGGCCCCGAGAGTAGTGGGGAATGGAGTTAAATCCAGATGATGGCTGGTCACAAGCGGTGTTTCCCAAGGCTCAGTACTAAAGCCAGCCCTATTTAATATCTCCATTGATGGCCTGGATGAGGGGATCAAGGTCGCCCTCAGTTCACAGACAATACTAAATTGGACAAGAGTGTTGATCTGATGGAGAAAGGAATGTGGACAGACTAAATCAATGGACTGAGGCCATTTGTACGAGGTTCAACAAGGCCAAGTGCCACGTCTGCCTTGGCTCACGACAACTGCAAGAGGTATTAAAGGCTGGGGGCAGAGTGGCTGGAAAGCTACTCAGTGGAAAAGGATCTTGAATATCCAAAATATAAGAATACCTCTTGCTGAATCTTGACATTATTGTAGAATTCTTCATGGTGCTCACAATTGGGTCACAATGATGAAAACAGCTCTTCTTATGAAGGCTCACTATGACTGGCACAAAATCAAATATTTAGTTATCTGTCGTCCATTATATACTGAAACATATTATATTTATGATGTAATGAAATATTCAAGCTTAATGCTGAGACATTTATATCTTAGTCTTAGAATTCTGTGAGCTCCTGAAAATGTACTTTGCATACACAAGATGTATATTTCATATAAAAAGATGTGCACTGAAATATTAATATTTCCCTCAACTCTCTGCATTGTATTCTGTAAAATGTGACATACTTAAATGCACTCATTACATCTAAAAGTTTACTGGCTTCCACTAAAATGTGCTGTATCACACATTTTACTTATGTCATCCATGGTCTGTCCATCCCATTTGAGCCCAAGCCCATCCCAGCTTTTTTGCACTTTGCCCAGTTGCCCCAAATCATGTGCTGATCTCGAAGAAAAGCCCTGAGAAACAAGGTTCATTTTATGCCTGTCTCTGAAATGTACTTTTTCTTCCAAGCACAAACAAATCTTACCAAAAGTGCTTTTTCTTTTGACAATAATGCTTGCTGTTCAGCTCTCCTGACAAGCAATGAAGATTTTCTTTTTCTCTTCCATTCAATTCACTAAAAAACCTGATTGTGCTAGTTAACAATGAAAGCATATCAAACCAAGACAAAATGTTTAAATAGCTCTTAGCCACCACATTATACCTAAATGAAAAGAATCCTCTTTCTAATTTATGCAAAAAAAAAGCTTAGTTATCTCACTGAATAAAAAGAGAAGTGGGTCTTTTGTAGATAAATGCACGCATAATATGAAGTCCTTGTTTAAGTGATAAAAGAGACAGCTCTTCAGCATATCTAAAAATCTTTATAAAATTAATTGATTTTTATAGGAGAAAAATAAAAGGGATGCAGGAATCCTAGAATTCTATCACATATTAACTCAACATACACATTCTATTTGAATTCTCTCTTGATAATGAATTAGGTCTCCATGAATTTGATGTATTGCTAGATTTTCAATAAATGTTTATTTTTCAGGGAAGTGTTTTGGGTTTTTTTTCCTTTCTTTTCTGCAATTGTCATCATTCCATTGCTAGTGCAGAAGATGTTATCAAATCACTTTGAAAAATGTGTTTACTTTTTACAAAACAATTTGGGAAACTGTTGCAACATCAGTAAAATGTGAAATTCTCTAACTTCAGTCATTTCCCATTATGTTAGTTGAGTCATGGACAATTACAGTTTTGTCCTAGTCTTTTCTGGTTTGCCCACAAGACGTTTGACCAAGATATTCAGAAGTGGTTATTGACCCTAGCTACCCACCAGGAGGCAATTTAGAAGGATTTCATTTGGACACAATCTAGCCACAAGTCTTCTTCATAACTTAGTTTTGCTGCCAAATTACCCCAGTTATTTTAAAAACTGCTGACCTTCTGGGATTTTTATTTTAGTTTCATTTATTTGGCTCTGGTTTATAATGAAAGTTCTGTCATTGTCTTCAGTGTACTAAAACCTGTGAAACTCTTTCAGAGGTGAAGGAAATTTTTCTTTAGTATGCAACAGTAGCAAATAATTACCTATGATTTGCTTTTATTTATAGTAAATTTTAGTTCTTAAAGTATTACCAACAGACTTAGATGGAAAACAGAAGTACTGTGGAAAGTTGTCAAGTAACTTGCGATGTCTCAGCACAAAAGGAAAAGCAGAAGAGAGATTTAGAATGATAATTGACTGATGAGTGTTACAACTCCACCATGTAAAAGCTTCATCTCATGGTAAAGGAAGCCAGATTTATGGCATTGTATTCCTTGTATATTGAACTATTTTGACAAAGACATTTCATAATCAGGTACACAGTGGATTCCAGAATATAATACACCAAATATGTGGTGGTTTTATAAATATTTCAGTATATCCTGCTGGTTTTTATGTGAGGTGCACATTTTCATTAGGTAACATACTTTTTTTCTACATTGTACAGTATATCAGTGTGGCCTTGTGATTCTCCCACTGTAGCAGTTTCCAGATTTTATGTATATCATACATATATTTCAGTACACTATGTAAGAACTCACTAAATATTGATATTCTTAGGGAAACCAGATTTATTTTCTGATGGCTTCCTATGGCTCCATATAGGATTGTGATCTGCAGGCCTGCAATGGTTGCAGACGTGAAGTGTCAAGGTCAAACATGACACTGACTACACGCCCCAAAGTTAGGCCTTGCTGAAATTGAGTGTGACTTGAATGTTTTTTTCATCAGTTCTCTAAGCCTTGTAACATTTTCATGCATCTACCATTTTTGAAAAAATCAAGTGTGTTGATGACATCCATTAAAACCCAGATTTGGTTATGTTTTGAAAAAATTCCTCCCAAATGGAGCCTATCCAGAGCTGTAAACCAGAAAATGCCACACTTTCTATTTTACACTTTTTTTTACTAGGCAAATGCAAAATGAATAGATTCTACCCACTGGAAATTCTCTGCACCCATAACTGGTTTCACAGAGAGAGCCTGGTGGCACTGATGAATTGAAGCAGGGGTTAATGTTTGGATTTTGAGTGCATGCAAGAAGAGGATTGCATCTCCTGCAAGGAAAATTGGTTTTCATTGATTCTTCCTCCTAAATTCTACATTAATTAGTTATGATAACTAAAACATTAAAGTGTAATTATGTGATCTGACCAAATGAGTGAAAAAGAGAGTTAGGTAGCCATCATTATGCAGCAACAGAAGTGCTCTAAGGTACTCAGAGCCAAACAACTTCAAGTTCTATGTCATAATTCTGACTCCATCCCAATGCCTCAAGCAAAGAAAGCTTGAAAACTTGTGTGGTCTACACTAAACCACCACTCTGTTATCTTCTTCTTCCCACTAATTTATTAAAAATGCACTCCTGATTAACTATATATATATATTATCAGAGTCTCAGTTATCAAATACGAGCAGTCACTGGAACTGCTGAATGCCATAATTTCTCCCTCTGATTCAAACAGACACATTTTCCTATTTAATGTGGCTTTAGGCCCTAACTTATATGCACTACCTTAAGTCTTTGAGTTAGATGTAGTGACAAGAAGAGCTCTGACCCTTTAAAGTTTTGGAAGACAGCACTAAGTCAGGTGTTAGTCAGGACTAGTCAGTCACTAGTCAGGTGCACCACCTTCCCTTTTGTCTCAACATGGAATAATAGCCTCCAGAATAATAGCCTTCATTAGAGAGATTCTTCTCACCCTGCAAAGCAATTCATTCTCTTTGGTGTAAAAAGGGTAGCACCTCTGCAGTCATGGCAACTTGTCAGCCTAATCCCACTTGACCTATATTTTATGTAAAATGTTCTTTACTCTTCTTTTAGGACAGGAGACTCCCTTTTTGGTTAGTGGTAAGGGCCAAAGTTCAGCCAGGTATGCTCAGGTCTACAACAACTTTTCTAGTTCTAGTTCAATGGCTCAGAGATACTAGCAAAGATAAATTTGAATTTTCTTAGAAATCACTGAATTGAGAATGATTCCAACTTTTTTTTTTCTGTGCTTTTCATTGGCTGGATCAGAGAAAACACTTTTGTCTGGACTGTTCCCAATTTTTGTGTATCTCCTTACAGAACAGATATCATTATTGCTGTGACACTTATGCTAGACATTTTCTGTATTATACTCAGTTGTAAATGGCCTAAAAAATGGATTTTTTTTTTCAAGATTAGTTTCATTTAAGAACTCCTGAGAAATATTAATATCCTTTGTAAAGGACAAAGTGGTGAGCTGCAAACCTAAGTAATTCTCTAGGGATTTGACTACCTGCCTGTTTTACTTGCTAGCAAATCTGTGCACTTTTCAAACTGAAGGTTACATTAACATTACACAGGGAAAGTAAATTAATTTAAGAAATTATCAATTTGTGGAGTTTCTTGAACATTGAGCAATATGTACACATAGCTCTGTGTGATCCCACAGATGTCCTGTCCTCAGTGCACAGCTTCATTAATCATGTGCTACGCATGTTGTTGCCTAAATTTCAATGCCATTTGAGACAGGGAAAATGTTGGGAAAGAAGTGTTACTTACCCTTTGCATACTAGTAGAAATTTCAAATATGCAGAGGGTTTAAAAAGACAATCAAGTAAGTCCTACAAACATTTAATTTTATTCTTAAAACTACTTTAAAGCCCAAACAAAATTATTTTATGTTATTGTATATATTCCTAGAGCAAAAGTGAGCATACTCAGCATTACATATCCAGTTCATGCAAGAAAGGCTGAAATCTGTAGTAACACCTCAGGAAGGCAATGGTGTGTCCCTAGGTTTGGGTTACATCTCTGGGAAATAAAGAAAATGCTTCTAGGGTTCATGTGGTGGTGTTACAGTGACGCTGTGCATGATCTCTACTCTTGGTGAAATGTAGACACAGACACTGGACTGCATTTGCCTCCTTCCTAAAACTGAATGAAACTCAGCAGGGCAGGAGTATTCCTTCACACCTCCATTCTCATGGCCACTGCTGGCTGCTGGCTGTGCTCTCCATTTTCTTACATTAGACAAACATATAAACAAAAGTCTATATATAAAAGTCATTTCTGATCTATACTGTGAGAGAGCCTTTGTAATTTGATATGAATTGTGTAGACCCTTTTGGCTTAATTCAAGGATATCTGTTGCTTGAGGCTGGGACCTTCTGTATAGCACCAAGCTAGATGTCAGCACTTGAACAGTAGAGAGACTGTGACTTAAAATGTTTCCATTCCAGACTTAAAATGTTTCCATTACAACTACATCCCTAACAGTCATCAGTCACTTAACCTGTATTTCAAAATGGACTGTTATCTAATGTATCCTGTCAGAAATTCCCCATACAACTTTTCTCAAAGGTAATTCACATGTTCCGTGATTCACAGATTCCATTATTTCTTTACCTAGATACCTATAACAATTTAATAATGGACACAAGTTGACAAATATAGGAAAGATCACATTTTTATCCCTAAGAAGGTGGTGAGCAATTTGCTGCTTGAAGGACAGATAAAACTCAGAGAACTCAACACAATAGCCTGTGGAGCATTTGCTCAACTTATGTAAATTCGCCAAAAAGCATCTGCCATTACAAATGTTTGGATTCATCATAAAATAGAGAAAAAAAAAAGAACAAATAAACTAATAAAATGAGGATGCTAGCAAACAAAAATCCTAAGCAAAATGAAGAAAAATATGCAAGGAAGGAGTTAAAGAGAGAGAGGTCACAGATATGGACAGAAAGGCAGCCATAAAATCAATTTTACACATACCCTTAGGGAAGTAATGCTACAATTAGGATCCTTGATCTGGAAAGGCCTACTTGTTACTTCAATCAAGATGAAAAGTGAGATGAGAAGTATTGTTTGAAATCAACAGTTTTGTTGGGTTAGAGGCTGAGCAAAAGTCATTCAGACACTTCAGGATAAATGGTGGAAGAGACTCTGCACTGTCAGTTCAACCTTCACTTCAGTCTGGTGCCTTATCAGAAGCTGTCACAAATTCACTGATATTCTGTGCTGCTGGTATTCTTGCTTCCGTTCCGTACAGCGTGTGAGCAACCAGAGTGCATCTGGAGATAATATCCCTGTAATCTTGCTAATAGTTCATGCAATGCCTGAAAATGGAGAGGGAGAGAGTTGAAATGAACTCACTGCAAATGGCTCAGAGCATTGCCAATTGGAGTCGTGGCACATGTTGAAGAAGTGGTCACATACCCTTTAGTCCTCCGAGGCATTCAGAAGAACACAAAGGAAGCCTCTGAAGAAAAGCCAGTAGACATGCCAAGGTACATATTTTGTAGGTTCTAGTAAAGCTCTGTGCTTAAAATATCAAAACATCAGGCAATTTTAACACTCCAGCTGAAGAAAAGGGGTTGGTGCATATAATGAGGGCCACAAATCCATGGACATGTCTGTGGGTGCTACCTTTAACCTATTGGTGCAGAAGAAGAAACATGCTTTAAAAACATGTTGTCTGTATGACCTGTGTGGATCATAGCAATCCATAAGGTGACACATTTCTTGTTTTTCAGGGACTGTTGATGGAATTAGATCTGAAAACTTTGTTTTCACAAATTTTTGCCAAAGAAATCCACATATGGGCTTATTTTGCTGCTTGCTAAAATTAGAACAGATATTGTATCATTAAATGAAATTTAGTTAATGTGAGCTGTTGTGTTATTAGATATTCAGATCCCAGTGAACTTTCATTCTAAAATGTTTAAGATTTTTGATATGAAGTCTTTTTTCTAAAGTCTAAAATTTACAACTTAGATAAGCCAGTATAAAAATGTTTCACATCAGGTCAACCTAATTTGGGGTGGTTGAATTTTGCTGACACTTGTTTGCAGTGGTTATGCATTCCTCCAATTTTCTCTGTTCTTTTTCCACAAAATAACACCACATGAGAAAACATATGTAAGAGACAATGAATACAAAATACTTAATTCTGTTGAGTGCGCTCTTTCTGTGGATTATGTGACAAAATGTCTGAATAAAAAATACACATCTAAAGTGAACACAGTGCTTTTCTTTCTGTTTTTTTTTTTTTAATAATATTTCCATTTAAAAAAGAAAAAACAGTAAAGTAAGAATGCCTTTTTACACAGATAATTTCACAATTTTTTTTGACCTGGTGAATTGAATTAAATAATCTAAAAATTTTACCAATATTCCTTTAATTTTTAAAAATCATTTGACAATTTCTACTTGTGTGAGTCCCTAAATTTTGTTTCAACTGTCATTTTAGCCATATGGAACACAGGAAATTAATTTTCATATATTTCAAGACTCAAATGTGCATACAAAGCACAACAAACCAGCCTGGAACAGTAAAAACCTTTTGAACACATCACTATGCCCACCTTGTAATTGCACATTTTTTCTAATGGATTCAGGAGTATGAGATAAAGTATTACAGAGCTACGGTTAGTGGGGTGAGAGAAACCAAATCCAAATCCCCCAAACCCCTGCATTTAGGTAAATAGGGATCCATTAAGTATGTTTCTGAATTAAATCCTACAGGGAAAAAACATGCTTGGCATTGCTTTACTATTTGCCAGATGTTTCCAGGTTATTTTTCTCTTTCCATCAGTCAAGTTAATCATGTTCAATAGGCCACCCTGCAAGAGAAAGTAAAAGTAATTTTGTTAGACAGCTGCTTTGCATAAAGTGTTTGCTTTCAAGGAATATTTTGCAACCTGGAGATACTGGAAAGTAATAACAGAATAAAAAGGGGGTGGTAAAATCTGCTCACACATCACCACCCTACTGAGTATCTCCACACCCCTCCAAAATGAAACTAAAGCTTTGTTTTAGTGTTAGAGGAGGCTAAATCAAAATTCATTGATGACATTAAAAAAGCCAACTTGATCCACTGTGAAATACTGTCACCTCATTTTCCTTTATGATTCTAACTAAGAGTTAGAGTAGGGACACAGTCTGAATAGACCTTAATATGTAAATAATGACTAAATTATAGGACAGTTTGAAAACAGGATTTGAAATATATGGGGAAAAAAGTACGGTGATGGTGGCTTAGCTCAGAGTGCATTAACAGATGCAGTTCTGCTTTCTAACGGGCTTTCATATTTTTAAATTATTATATTTTCTATCCTCCAACTACTTGAAAAAATATTTCAAGGCCTTTGATTACACATGGAGAGATTTGAGACAACTCTACTGGCAAACACATTTATATCTGGGAAAATCCCCACATATATCAATATAAAAAATGTAGACATAATTCTAGTGTTGAAAACTTTCTCAGTTTTTATTGCATATTTATTGTTTTAAAGAATCTGATTTTAAAAGAGCCTTACAAAAATTATGATTTTATGACAAAATAATGGGGTTTAAATTAGGCATGGGGAGTCCCAGTGTAACTGAGAGTCTTCATGCTCACCATCATCTACTTTTCTAGTTTCTCAGGCTATCTTTTGAAAGCTGACATAATTATAAGATTTTCATGACTTTATCTACTGAGTGCAGATTTTATGATCATAGAGATCATATTGAACTATGACTTATAATAACCAAAGAAAGTTTACTGCATGTACAGTGATTAGCATGCACAAGCAAACACACACATACATAAGTCTAGAGAGGCACATGAGGCACACATGAATAAGTATATTTACATGTATATAGTTGGAGGGGGGAGGTGGTGGCATTAGTTAGTGGACATAGAACACATTGGATCAAATCTCTGAATTTAATTACAATCTCTTCTATAGATAGTTTTAAATATGATCCCATGACCCTAACTCAAAAGAAGAAATAGTGTTGTTACTAGAGAATGCTGAACAAAATGTACTGACATACATTGAATCAGTAATGCATGAAACACAGAATTGCTAGTGTCCCAGTGGATACAGCTGGGTGGTAATTTTGTATTAATATTGCATTATATATTAAATAATTATTAAATTTGCTGCCTTACCACACTTAGGAGCAGCAACCCACCACCAAAGGGTACAGCACCCAGGGGAATCATAAGGGACATCTCTTCAAAAGAGAAATCAATTTTCAGTCCTTGTCACTAGTTTTGTGTTCATTTAAATTTTCTTGGCTTCTAGTTTTTAATCCTAGAGAAGTGACTCCTGCACATGTGTGTGCATGTGTGTGAGAGTACAGAAATCTTCTGGTCTTCCTTGTAGTGCTAACACCGAAAAATCTAGGTACATCCCCATGACCCAGCTGGAGTTGAAGGTGTTTTCCATCTTCATATACTTAGGAACCTTGGAACTTTTTCCAATAGAAGTGTAGGTCAGTAGGAGTGAATATAAACTCCCTCATTACTTTCTGCAGATCCCTTCTAGAAGAATTGCATGAATGAGCATTTGAAAATGACTGTGCTTTATCCCTTTTATCACAGTCACTACGATTTACTTACTCCCTGGCAGGGACTCCAAGCTGTCTGCCTCCATAAATCAGCAACAGTCACCTTAGCCTTCTCCCAGAGGGTTCAGGTTGAGGTGCATGCAGGTTGGGATAATTCATGGGAAACATGACAGCCGCCTTAAGGATTTTTTTTATGACTTGATAAATGCACAGATGTGCCAAGGTTTTTGTAGGTGAATGATACTTGGATGTTTGCTCCTGAGAGATTATACTTTGATATAGATGTCCAATCTCTAAAAAAAGTGTATTTTTCAGGATATATTAACAAATGTAGCTCTTGCTTAAGACCACTGTTTTCTGTATTTGCCTCTTTAATTTTAAAAGTAACATATGGACTAAAGCCCAGCATTCATCAAACTGACGTGGGAACAGAGCAGACAGACATTTATAAATCTAGTCCATAAGCACGTTTTCTCATGTTTTGTTTAATCTAGTTGCAATTATGTTGTGTTGGGAGAAGAACAGTAGGAGCGAAACCCTAGCACCTCAGTGGCACTAGGATCTGAGTGGCTTGCATTTGGCGGAGCTACACGGACAGATTTTGCACCAAATGAGCAACCTGCAGAGTACGTGTTGTTGCCCCCCACCCCACAAACTTCACACTTGTGCACACAGCATGTTCCCAAAGTGCCCCTTACAGCAGGAGCTACTGAAAAGGGATGAGGGAGAACCAGGACACATCTATTTTGTGTGTGAAGAGAGGCTGTGAAGAGAGAGGCTGCTCTCTCATCACACAGACATCCTGCTGGGCCACATGAGGCTCAGCCATAATGTGCAGACTCATCCAGGGTGTTTGGCTGCCTACTCTGACAGCAGTAAAACCCCAAATTCACAGTGGCTACTTTTGACCTGGAGGTTGTTCAGACACCAGCTTTGCACCAGCATGGATCTCTCTGCCCTGCACCTTATCTCTTCCCTTGGCACCCTGGCTTCCCTGGAAAGATGGGGCCCCACAGTGTTCCTGCTGGCATTTAAGTTTAGCACATGTGCCCACAGGTCATCAGAGACACAGGCACTATTTCTTTTCAGGAACAATGAATGTAGTGAAAGAAGCAAAAAGACTCAAAAAAGGAGAGGTAAGGATATTGATTTGCTGAAGAAAAGTGTTACTCAGAGCCTGAGCTGGGATAATAGAACCGCAGGACACATCCTTATACAAGGAGCAGCTATTCATGGCCCTCCTTGAGATGTATAGATTTAATGGCAGCTGTATCGCCTTCTAAAACTGCCTTGTGCTATGAGATATGGTATGTACAGTAAAAATAGCACTCTCTGCACAGCAGGTTTCTATTATGGGATTAAACAATTGTGCCCACGTTGTAAAAACCAGCTAACAACTACCAAAGGCAAATCTCCCCAAAGCAGCCAGGCAATGAAAGAAAGTCACAAACAAAAGACTAATGACCTAAAAGTAAAATTCAAACCTGAAGATACCACAGAAAACATTGCTTAAAAAGCTATGTACAAAAGTGTGAATTATGCAAGTAAATCCACCTGACAACATCCATTGTTTGTTGCCCCCATATTTTATGCTCTTACTTCTGTTAATGCATATGAGAGTGTAAAATTCAGAGGGAAAGACAGCATGCAAAGTGTGTCTTATTTATGAATTCTATATTCAATGATTCCTCAGCTAAACCAGAAGAGGCACAGATGATTCTGACTGAACTTGAAAGGTTATGCTAACAGCACTATATAGTCCCCTACCAGTCCCTGCAGTGACTGAAGTTTTATGCAACCCATTTAGAAAACTGAACGAAATCAGTTTCGTTCCCTTCTAGAGTTGACCAGGTCATTCATTTAATCAAACTTCAACAAGTATAAAAAAAATTTGCTTTCAGTTCAAATGGTCTCATATTATATCCTTTTTTTAGCATATGGTACTAGGCAGATTGCCAGCCCTATATGGGAGGAGAAATTCAGCAATATGTTGCAATAAAGTTCTCTCCTGGCTCCTCAGTCAAAACTTACTTTCACCTAAAATATTCTTTCTTGCTCTTTCTTATTTCTAGGATCTCAACATAAAGTCATCAGCATTCATGCTGTAAGATTAGATTTAATGTGTTTCTAAAGCCTCCCATTAACCTTTCAGAAAGTCTGACATTTCCTGATTCACCAGACAACCACGTCTTTTTCTATTGGGGTAGGCAGTCTCTTCTCAAATCACTTGCATGTGTCAATAATGACTCCTTTCTTTCCCCACAAGCTGGAGGAGAGTGGGGCCCCAGCTTTCTTGACTGAAGGGGGTTGTTTTTGCAAAAGCTTGTGCACAAGCAAAGGCAGGGATGGAGAAATAATGTTAAGCAGCTTCACAATCAAAAGCTTCTGCAGATAGCCCCAAACCCAGACATAGGTGGATTGGGTAGTAGATAATGCTTTATTAAGGTACTGACAGAAATGTAGTCTTTCAGGATGCTTATGAGCCTGAGGAAAAGCTGCTATTATTCTTGAGTTTCCATTCCTGCTGAGCCAGCACCTGTTTGCACTTTTCCCTCATTCTGGTCAAGAAAAGATTCTCACTTAGCATGTAATAAAATGTTGCTTTATTTCCCCTGTAAGCCAAACACATTGACATCATTGGGTGTGTGCCTAGTTTATGGCCTAAGGATTTGGCCTTTTATACGTACACAATTATCTAGATCACTTTTCCCCCCTTCATTCCACACCCTCCACTCCTCTCCCATCCCCAGACTCATGTCAAAACAACAAGTTTTTCAGGTCTATTTTTTAAGTTAATATATGTGAGTGTCATGTGCTTGTAGATCTATTTGATTTCCTTGAGCTATCAGGGTGAGAGAAAATCCTTACATTTTAGCCATTAATTTGTTTTATAAAATTAGAGATCACATGGCTTTTGTGAACTGGTCAACTTACTTGTCTTCTGCAACTACAAATTTCAAATATTTTCTATAACCCAGATACCATGGAAGTTCTTGACTGAGTTTGCCTTTGTCATATAGAATGATTTAGCATTCAACAATGGAGTCCCCATTGTATAATATTTTTGAGGAAGGTTAAGGAAATTTTGGTCTTTTGTCCTTGATTTTCTTTCCCACAATCTAAGATGGCTCTTAAAAACATAAATGCTTATGATTTTTCCCATAGATGTAAAGTACAAGATATACTATCAGGAATTTAGTGCCACAAATGCTGAAAGAAAGTAATATCTTTTAAACTTGCTTGGAGGCCACACACAGCTTTTTTATGCAACTCATATGTT